TTTCTACATATATATATATATATATATATATATATATATATATATATATATATATATATATATATATATATATATATATATATATATATATATATATATATATATATATATATATATATATATATATATATGTATATATTATATTAAAACAATAATAAAATTAAATTTGTAACATAACTCAGAGTTTCACGCTATATGCGATCATCAGACGTTACAAACCATTTACACGCCTTTAAAGATCGCTGGTACAAGCATAAGAATTCCTTTCAATACAAAAGTAAAGCTAATGCCACAGAACTTTCTAAATATATCTGGGAAATGAAAAAAAAAAGGATTTTCAAATCCTATTCTTACGTGGAAAATTATTGATAGGGCAGAATTTTTTAAACCCGGAAGAAAGTTATGTAACCTTTGTTTAACGGAAAAATACCATATCATTATATTTTTATAGCATTTATATATATATTTCTAAATTTGTGTGGAGTGTTAAAGGTTTAAATCCAGCCCTTTCGTGGAAAATTTTAGACCAGGCTGAACTGTTTAAACCTGGTGGTAAGTCATGCAATTTATGCTTGATGGAAAAATATCATATAACTTCAGCCCCATTAGGGGATGAAATTATATGATATTTTACTAAATACCTTTACTAAATGAGCGAAACAATCTTGCGCCTAAATGTCGCCATGAAATTAAATACATTATGAATAACTTTAATGGCATCAAAGAGGACACTTCACATTATTTTTAATATATATTTTTTTGTCGCTATTTTTAAGATTTATAACATCTGATGATCGTTATTTGTGTGAAACTCCGAGTAATGTTTTAAATAAATGGAACGTTATAATTACTTAGTTTTTACTATATATTGCTCTACTTTGGTATTGAGCACTCTTTAACAAGAAATATTTACACAATTACTACAATATATATATATATATATATATATATATATATATATATATATATATATATATATATATATATATATATATATATATATAAGCAATTGCTCGCCTTTTTTTCAATTATGGATTTATTATTTACGCGCTTTTCTTATATGTAAACAATTGCTCAACTTTTTGAGCAACTGCTCATGACTAAAAGCTTTTGCGCAAAAAAGAGCAATTGCTCTAAATTTTTTTTGGCATAAAGTTGAGCAATTACTCCAAAAACGCTAAGTAAAAGCAATTTTTACTCAGGTGAATAAAAAAAGATTTTATTCACCCGAGTAAAATTGTTTTTTTTATTCACAATATTTTTTGTATAATATAGTATTACTATTAAATAATAATCGTAGGACTTTGATTGATTTTTTTTTCCTTTCAATTTTTTAATTTTTGATTTTAAGTGTCTCAAGATGTCACAGAGCACCACGGAAGGACAAGAGCAACTAGAAAGTTTATCCTTCTTACTGATGACGCGAAAAGCGCCCATAGCTCGTTTTGAACCTTGGGTATTTTGCAAGCACTTAAACCACTGCATCAACGCCGTTTAATGTTGATTCTATTTACTTTTGTATTCTTTAATCATTAGTTTAAAAAGTTAAAGAGGCAAGTTATAGGAAATAAAATAATGAAAAATTTTTCCGACATAAAATAATGAAATGAAATAAAGAATATAAAATTTTACTGATATTTTAGGAAAATTGTTTGCACCAATCTATAAGATTTTCTAGTACACTTTCTAGTTTATTGTATAATAAATAACGGTTTGAATAAGCAAGGCCTGAATTTAAGATGTTATATAAATCTTGATATAAATACCTTTAGTAACAGCTATGCTGTTACTAAAGGTATTTATATCAAGATTTCAACATTCTGAAAAAAAGTATTCTCATATAAGCAAAATGCTCATAAAATTTTAAAATAAGTTCATGAAATTTGAGTAGTTTGCAAAACCATTTTCGTGAAAGAAAAGACTTAAATTTATTTTTGAATTAAATATAAAAGATAATAAATTAAAGTAAATAGTATAATAAAGAAATTAAATAAAACAAAAAATATTACCTTCCATATTTTCCGTTTGGAAACAAAAACGACGATAATAATTACAATGCATGCAATAGCTATAATAATTGGCACAACAATTGCAGTATAAGAACGACCATCAGATCCGCCATGTTTGAGTGTTTCGTTATTTACAAACAATTTTATTCCATCAATTAAAAATGAATCTTGGTCAGGTTTTACTGAATCGTTGTTTATTTTCACATTTAAATTTCCGTTAGTTATGAAACTAATGACCAAGTTTTTAAACTGTTCGTGAGCAGATTCTGATCCTGTCGTTTGAATAACAACAACAATGCTTCCTATGTATAGTTAGTGACAAGAAAGTAAAAATATAATTAATAATAATCAATAGGTTTATCCAGTGTTATTATTTTTATGACTATGAAAAATCAAATTTAAAAAATTCTAACCTTTAAAAATAGAACAATTGACTGACACCGATAAGTTTACAAATAACCATTGCTTGCAAAATATATTTTGAGCTGGTAAAAAGCCACCTAAAGCAGCGATGGTCTCATCAAAATCACAATAATAAACCACTTTAAATACCTTTGTTACGTTTATTGTTGGAGTATTCGTCGATAATAGCGTGTTATACGAATGATAGGGATAAGTATCTGTGGGTACAGAGAAAATGGACGATGTAAATATCATTTGATTAATTACAGATGAGATAGAAATTTCTGAGGGAGAAACCTGTTGAATTAAGTTTGAAGTTAGGTTTGTTACATTTAAATCATTGTCCGTTCGAGAATGGTTATTATTATTTAAAGAATATACAGGCAATTCACTATATTCTATAAAAGATGATGATTTTGAAGATGTGATCAATAATGTTACATTACCAACTTTGGTATCTGAAACCTCTAAAAATGGGATTTCAGATAAAAATTTAGTACTTGCATAACTACTTGTTATGGACCAATCACTAAATACCTTTAAACTTTTTGAACTTATAGATAAAAGTGCTGATGGTGTAGGTGGTGTAGGTGGTGTAGATGGTGGTGTAGATAGTGTAGATGGTGTAGGTGAGAATAGTGTTGATGGTGTAGGTGAGAATAGTGTTGATGGTGTAGGTGTAGCAGACTGCGGAAAAAGAGCAAGATTAAGTGATCCTAAATTAAAAGTTGCAAGCTTTATAGATAACGTTAAACTATCAACATTTGTTTCCATTTGAAGTATATTTTTATTTAAAATCTCTGTCGTTGATAAAATTCTAGAAACTGGACTTAAGTTTAATGATATATTCTGCATCAAATTTATTAAATAGGCATTATTTTTAGTTTGCATTATAGTTGAGCTTAAAGCATCACTTGCATTTTGATCTGCAGCTGTGACTACTTGAAATAAATTTAATTTTGTAAATTCGCTGCTTTTATTAGTATTTACTTGAGTGTTTTGTAGAATAGATTGATGAACTGCTTGTAAAGTCATTGTGTTTGAAACATTTGAATTTATAAGAAAAGTTGAATATGATGAAAAACCAAGTTCATGCGACGTATATGTTTCAAATTCTTTTGCTTCATTACTTACTTGAGTGTTTTGCAGAATAGATTGCTGAACTGCTTGAAAAGTCATTGTGTTTGAAACATCTGAATGTGTAAGAAAGGTTGAATATGATGAAAAACCAAGTTCATGCGACGTATATAATTCAAATTGATTTACTTTATTATTTACTTGAATGTTTTGCAGAATAGATTGCTGAACTGCTGGTAAAGTCATTGTGTTTGAAACATCTGAATGTGTAAGAAAGGTTGAATATAATGAAAAACCAAAATCACGCAACGTAAATGTTTCAAATTCATTTGCTTCATTATTTACTTGAGTGTTTTGCAGAATAGATTGTTGAACTGTTTCTAAAGCTGTTGCGTTTGAAACATCTGTATATGTTAGAAATGTTGAATATGATGAAAAACCAACGTCATATGATGTATAAGCTTCAAATTCACTTGTTTCGACTGAAGTGTTGTCTAAATCGCTTCCATAAATATATTCTATGAACATCCATACAAAAACTAAAATTAGAAATAATATAAGCATACAAAAACTAAAATTAGAAATAATATAAGCCATAAAAAACTATAATTAGAAATAATATAAGCCATAAAAAATTGTTGATTGTGATGCCTTTATTAAAAATAAAAAAGGTAAAAAATTGAAAGTTAAATAAAAAAAGAAAAAAAAGTGCGTTCTGAAAAAGAAAAAAAAAAAAAAATGAAGTACAAAGAAAAGATAAATATAAAAAGGTAATGAAATAGATATTTAAAATTTTAGAGACAATTTTAAAAATTGATTTAAAAGAAAAATCATAAATTTTCAAAATTTTGAAACTAAGTTTGTTACCGAACAAAATGAAAATCTTTTTACTAAATGAAAAGTACAAAATAAATTGTTAATGTTTTTTTTTTATTTTTTTTTATTTTAAAGGTATTTAAGGGGCTCCAATAAGTCCTTACGTTTTTATCTCAGAGCACCGCGGAATAACATTTACCTAGAAAGTTGACGCTTTCTTCCTTACCAATGACGCTTATTTCCATCAAACCTCGGATCTTTGATTCTGAGCCAAAACTCTAAATACTTTGCCGATGCTGCCTAATTTTAAGATTTGTGGTTCAGATTATTTATTTTGAACTTGAACCAAGCGATAATTTCGTTTTTTTGATAATTTCTTGATTTTAATTCTGATTTAATGTAGAAAGCTTTATAATTCTGATCAAAGTTGTACTGGTACACTTTTTTCAAATAATGTTGTATCCATATTTAAAGTTAATATGGATTAAATTACACACGATTTAAACGTAAATAGCGCAGATAGGATTCTTATCGCTTGGTGACTACACGGTTACCTAAGCAACGCGTTATTGTTTAATGTGTGGCCAGCACGCCTCTTTTGCATTTATAAGTAAGAATCTGTAACAATTATGAATAATTGGATTTTTTCAGCCATAACTGTACAATATGCTAACATATAACTAACAAACAATATCTATTAAGCTTCATTGACTTATTGCTAACTTTTCCTTAGTAAACGTAGCAAGCAATTATTGAGGTCAAATTGCTATCTTATTGTTGAGAATGTTTTCAGCTTGTCGCAAGCAATATTACCAGGTTTATAAACAGCGTTTTTTTTTTTCCATTATTAATCATTAATTAACTATCAATAGGATTCCTCATAACAATTTTGAAATGGATAACTTTGAATCTCTGACACTTTTTATTTCATTTGTTAGTATTTTTTAGTTTTATATAGATTGTATTATTTGCCAATAAGGTGGGGGGAAATGAGTTATTAAAGATCTTGTATACAACTAAGAAAAGAAAGTGAAAATGGACCATTAAAGCAATATCGAGTTTGAAATATACTTTGCTAGAGACTTTAGATAACTGCATGTTTCAGCAAATATGCTAATTTAAATATGAATAGCTTCAGCAGTTGAATTTAGATCTACTTAGCTATTACAGTCAAATCATGTAAAAATATAAATTATATATTTGATCCTTTTACTTAAATATCTGACTTGAATTATATTCTATTTAACTATTTCTTCTTTAATACAATTTCTTTATTCTATATTCTTATTTATTACAAATTATTATATATATTGCACTTATCTTAGTTGGACAATTTATATTATATTTGTCTCATTTGGACAAATAAATTTTATACGCCTAAATAAAATTCATACGTAGTTCATATAAGGCAAAAACTTATTTTGGAAAATAATTTTTTTTTACCGATCTAAATACTTAGCAATTCTTATAAATAAACATAAAAGTGTAGCCTGGAAAAAACACTTTCGTCAAATTTTAATATACTGTTACAAATTTTAAGGTATTTTAACCCCTCACAGCAATCATCTTACTTTTTATGTTGTGTTTAATTCAAATTATTAGATTCCCACCTTTAGAATTAGGACGTCTAAAAAAAAAATCAACAAAAAAATTTTATATAAAAAAGGCTGGGAAACGAGTACCTTGAGCAAGTAAATTTGAATCTTAAAGAAAGATTCAATAATTTAATAAAGTTACAATATACTTTATTAAATTATTAAATTACAATATACTTTATTAAATACAAGGGTATTTAAGAGCTCATAGAAAAGACTGTTATAATAAACACATCGTTCTCGACTTCTCTTGAACCATGTTTGATTAAATTTAATGTACTTTTTTACTGATAAATCCCCTTCAAAATGCATGAGACTGTAACCTTGATAAAAAATTTTTACTAACTTTTCAGAGTTTAATTTACGAAATCCTTGGTAAAATTATAAAATCAGCAAAGCATATAAATGAAAAAAAAAAAAAGAAAATCTAGACTGTACACTACAAATTGCACTCATTAAAATGTAAATAAATTTTTTTTTTAACGGGTGCGTTATTGAATTAAAAAAATTATAAAATTAAAAGTGAATTCTAATTACTTACTGCTTTGAGAAAAATCCATTTTAAAAATGAAAATCATGGCTGAGAGAAAAATAAATTAGTTGTTAATAAACAAAAAAAATCAACGGCGATATCATTAGCAACAGTGCAAGAAATAAATTCAAATCAATACTTTGATTGAAAACCAAGCAATATTTTTGAGTAAACAATTGTTATGACTTTAATAAATAAATGAATAAATGAATAAAACCAATTTATTTCTGTTTAATTATGTATTATTTATGTACATTGTTAAGCTTTTTTTAGATTAAATATAAACAACACCGTACAACTTTACGACGTTGTTTATGACGGCGTTAGAAAACGTTAAACATTGCGTCAGGAAACGTAAGTTTTCTAACGCGTTATTTAACGTTTTATTTTTGTAAATTAACGTTAATATTCAACATGAAAGACATATATTTAAAAATATATTTTTTGATACAAAATATATGTTATTTTAAAAAGTAGATGTAATGTTAAAGGGTGTTTTGATATTTTAAAAAGCAATATCAACATATACAGATAACTCGTAACTTTTTATTGTTTTTAATGTCAGAATGACGTAGTATATATTAACGGATTTCTGCATTATAAACAGTTTTAAATAACCCTATAACTTTCACATCGAGTAGCTTTAACTTTTCTAAAAAATTTCCCATTATCTAGAATAATTTACTTAAATATCCAAGTAAACTTAAAAAAGCTCTTGTTAATAAATGCTCCTAAAATTCTTTGTTTCACTTCTATTAAATATTTATTCAATTTATCATAGTCGTTTCAAACGCTATGCGACAAAATTAGAAAGGCTGTAAAGGTTTTTGAACAAATCAAAACATAGCCCTCTAGTTTCAATACTTTTTTTTCAATTAATTAGAAAATCTTTTTTCTAATTAATTGTAAAAAAATCTTGTTCTATTATTTTAGTCACTGCTTCGGTAGTCGGCCCCAAATCGCGACGTTAGAATTATCTTGTGCTATCTCCATGTTTTTGCAAACTGAGAAAATCGATGTCAAAGTTTGAATTTGTTCGCAGCTAAATTGAAAAAATATTTTGAGAATTTAGGTATTTCCTAAGATTTAAAAATGTTTTATTATTAATTTTTAGATAAAAAAAACTTTTTAAAATTACGCTAACGTCCTTTTTTTCGCACCCTCTTTTGGAGATAGAACAAAATAACTTTGGTTTTTAGTAAAATTCAAAAATATTATGTTGTTACCTCATATATATTAAACATATTAAGTACATTTTTCAACAACGACATGTTAGAAATTGATGAAATTTTGTTCTACCTGCTAATTATTCTTACGCAGTACCTAATTTACACTCCTAATTTATGGGCATAAGCCCCTAAATTAGGGGCATGGGCCCCTAATTTAACGGGACCCTTTTCAAAATATAAGACGCTTTTTGTATTACCTAAAAAATTAGGTTTTTTTAAATAAAATGAGGCCCTAATTAGGAGAACTTTTAGAAGAGCCTCTAACGACACTGTTCTTACGACTTACATTTACTTTAATTACCTGTAGGCGCCGGCCCTGGACAAGACTAAGACGTCTAATTTAAAACGGAAAATTTGGCTGCGTAATAATAATGTAAACGTATTAATATAATATAAACGTATAAAATAAATTATGAAAGGTATATAGGAAAGAGTTATGTTAAAAAAATGTAATAATAAAAGAAATAACATTATGTAACTATCTGATAATTCACAACAATTCAACTAATCTAATCACAAACTCCATGCAAGACGAACTTGATTTTATTTTTCTTATGCCTGTGTATCCATTAATAGAGTTTAACTTTTTATTAAAAGTTATTGCAAATATTTACAAATAAAAAATTGTTACTCAAGTTAACGTCAGGAAGGGCATCAGGTTGTGAAACATTGCTTTAACTCTTTCATAGTGGCCTTTATGTCACTATGGAAAACCATCCAAACCAAACAAGTGGGGGAAAATGAATATAAAAGTACAAAAAAACAAACAAAAAAAACACAAGCTAAACAAAAATTTTTATCAAGATTTCAAAATAATATTATTTCAATGTGTTTTATATTTATATTTATACTAAATAAATATTTTATTTAAATATGTTATTTATATGTATATTATTTATATTATTATATATATATATATAAACATGTTATTTATATTTATACTAAACATATAACAACCCTAAAAATATTTTGACTTTATTAATGTTTTGTAAATGTTCAATTTATTATTGTTTTATAAAATGCAATATCAACAGCAGGCATGTATGAATACATGGAAATGATATCATTGGCTTTTGCAACAGATATAGACTGATAAGAAGCATGAAAGCAAGCTGCCATTGGTATATTGGTATTTAATGGTTTTGCAACAATAGTTGATGCTGCTTTCTTGACAGACTTATTTATACGAGCATGTGAATAATTATCTGAAAACGAGGTTTTAAAAAAAACATGGTATGGCAGTCCGTTTCGATAAACAAGATTTTTAACCTTTGAATAAGGCACTAAATTATAACTTGACAAACCAGCGACAACTGAAAAATTCTTTACATCTCCTAATTGCATTTGGTAAACATAGAAAGGTTTTTTACGGTTTACTAAATATGACTAAATATTTCTGCAGCAGAGAGGGATTTTTCAATCTGACTATGAATGTTGTCACATTCTTGAATGCTGGAATGACCTGGCTCGCAGAACTTCTGTTCAATTACTTTTATTTGTGGGTATCGTATTATAAATTCACACAAAGCTGCTGACATGAAACTATTGCGGTTTTGTGGTACACATGAATCGAACCAAAGTATGAACTTATATATGTCAAGGTCAGCCATGATTTTCAAAAGCAAACATGTTACAGCACTGGCTAGATCATTTCCTCCACGACTAGTCATGGCTTTGTGCCAAAGGATGCAATAACCCTTCCTGTTAAGCGAGCAATGACCAGTTAAGTTATAATTTGAAAGTTTTCGTTTGTAATAAAAGTTTCCCACATTAGCTCTAGGCAAATTTAAAACATTTTCAAGGTCAATACAAACAATTGCAGTTTTAGAATCAACGTTTTGGCGATCATTTTCACGTTCAGTTTTGGTATCATTCCTTGATTTTATGTGCTTATTATAACTATCTGTTTGTTCATTGCTTGCATTAACAATGTTGCGATACTCATAGCATGTGTCACATAAATCTTTCTTCGGTTTTTGAAATTTTATATTGAACTCGTGATTAAAGATATAACGATTCATATGTTCTTTTGCTGGAGGAGAGACATTTTCATCACAATATATTTTATAAAGATCATACATTCTACCTATATTTAGTGATCCTTCCATGTATTCTTTATGTGTCTTTTTCCTGCTATAATGAGCATCAATTCTTGGGAAAAGGTTAATATGGTCTCGTACAACTTGTTTAGACTCTTCTAGTAACCTTTTTTTAACATGTTTCCCTGATTTTGATTGCAATGGTGTTCCAGTAGTTAAAGATTTATTAAACTTATGAAAGTAAAACACTCTATGGCTGCTAATATTCAATGTTGAAAGATAATATGATTTACAAACTCTATATTGTGTATTAGAAACAAAAAAGCTATAATAATAAGATGTTTTTCTTCTTGAATTGTCACCAGCAGCTGTCCGACAGCGTTTTTTCTCCAGATTTTCAGTAGTTTTAGAATAGAAATGTTTTTTTCCATCATTATCTAAGGTCCAAAAGTTATCAAATATTATTTGACGCTCAATCTCAGATATATTGGTAGAACATTTAAATTTACAATTTCTGCAACTTTTTAGTGCAACAATAGATCTTTTTGGCATTTGTTCTCCTTTCGTATTTTTATAAGCTTTACCTGACTGACGTTGGATTTTTCTTACACTTTGTTTCCAACTACTCCTATCAGCTTTACGTTTCCTAGAAACCCCACCATGGGGCGACCGACGAGAAGGTGTAATGCCAAGCAGCTCTAACGGTTAAAATATTAATTTTTTATTATCCAGGATGTATAAATAATAACTTTTAAATTTAATCTAAAATGGCACAAGCGAAAGTCAAATTCTACTTTTCCAAAATTATAATACAAATTAAGTTGAAAAACTACCTTCGTTTTGATTTAGGGCAGGTTCCATTTCTTGGTCAATATTTGCAGTTGCCTTTTTGAAAACAACAAAACTGATAAAATTATTCCGAATTACTTTGTAATTGTAATATGATTTGTTGATTGGAGATAGAACAAGATAATATTTTCAAGTTTGCTCATTAAGGAGATAGAACAATGCAATATTGCATGCAATACCGTGTTAAAAGTTTCATTTTTTTTCAATATAATTAAAGTAGAACAACACAATGCTAAAATATTCGAAAATAATAAAATCTCAATTTTTTCAAAAATTGGAGATAGCACAAGATAATTCTAATGTCGCGAAATGTTATTTTATATAGCTTAAATTAATTTAGTTTTCGCTGCTTACTTTTTTAGTCATTTTTTGTTGTTGTTGCTATTTTTCTATTGATCAAACTTTCTCGCTGACCAGACTTTTACGCTTAATGATGTCAAGCATTACAAAAAAGAAAAATACGAGTAAAAGATCTTGTTTTGTTAATAATTTTACCAAAAGGCGTTAAATCTTGGTTTCATCATACAGAATGATATGTAATCAAAATAAAATGTAATCAAAGTTTCATCAAAGTCAAAGTCAAAAAACTTACAATTGAGCGGTTAGCTCCATTCAGAAACATCACAATATTGGTTTACCCTCGATGTTTTTTCTGTGCTTGTTCAAGTCAAGAATTTCTTTTCTGCTTATTCAAATTCTCAAGTGCATCTTCTGAATATAATCCAACTGATAAAGGTAGTTTATGTGATAAAAAAAAAAAAAAAAGATTTATGGTAGCAGTTTGAGTACAATAGAAGGTATAACATACCAGTTCTACAAACCACTATAAGTTAAGTTGTTTCAGTGCAGTATAAATCATAATAAGTTTAGTTGTTTCAGTGCAGTATAAGTCTAAACTTTTTTTAAATAAAATTTTAGTAAAACCGATGTAATTGGTTTTGTTTCTCATTTATCAAAAATAAATTGGAACTTCAATTTTTTTTTGTTTTTACAACTGAAGAGTATTGGAACATCTTTTCTGATCATCTTCGTAAAGGTATTGATCGTTTTGCTCCAATCAGAACAATATAC